AGTACTGTGTCCAGTTCTGGGCTCCCCAGTGCAAGAGAGACATGGAGCTCCTGGGGAGAGTCCAGCGGAGGGCTACGAAGACGATAAAACGCCTGCAGCGTGTCTCCCAAGAAGAAAGGCTAAGAGAGCTGGGCCTGTTCAGCCTGGAGAAGAGAAGACTGAGAGGGGATCTCCTCAATGTGTCCAAATATCTGAAGGGAGGGTGTTGAGAGGATGGGGTCTGACTCTTCTCCGTGGTGCCCAGTGACAGGACGAGAGGCAACGGGCACAAACGGAAGCACAGGAAGTTCCATCTGAACCTGAGGAAAAACTTCTTCACTGTGAGGGTGACTGAGGCCTGGAAGAGGTTGCCCGGAGAGGTAGTGGAGTCTCCTTCCCTGGAGATATTCAAAACCTGCCTGGACGTGATCCTGGGAAACATGCTCTAGAGGACCCTGCTTGAGGAGGGGTGTTGGACTACACGATCTCCAGAGGTCCCTTCCAACCTAAAATAATCTGTGATTCTGTGATTAGAAGTTTTAAAACTATTGAATAATATTCAATTTTGTTTGGCAATTAAATATAAATTGGCATAATAGTGATAAAAATTTCAAAACATGCAGAAGAGATATTTCACAAGGAAGATTTGATAAACTATATAGAGGGAAAAGACAAAAATAAGAAAGGAGGATCCAGATTCCCCTTTTACTGATGGTATAATTCAATTCATTTATCTTAATAAGCTCAGAGCCAAGAAATACAAATATACACAGTTCTATAAATATTTTCATCAATTCTAAATAACATTCACTGTGTCCCAAAATCATACAGTTACTGTCATATATGATTTATTTGAGTATCCTGATTAGTCATGGTAAAGTGAAGGAAACTGCTCACTAGTCTGAGTTTTTGCACAATACTTCCAACCAATCATCTGTCTGGACTCATACTGAATCATGACAAAACATAGAATTTGAAAAAAATGCTTGACGGTAGATCTACAACGTGATTCCTTTCAAAAGCAACAAAATCAATAAAAAACTTCATAAAGGAAACCTTATAGAAAATACAGCTGTAGCTACACGCATTTTAATTCATTTAACAAAGCTATGATGATTAAATGATAACCAGAAATTAATGTTTACCTTACTATAATATCTTCGTGAATCTTTTGCCCAATTTGTGTAGTAAACTGGGCTTCCATCAGTCCATAAGTATGTGTGCTCCTGATTTATGTCATTCAGTCCAATCCAGACATCAGTTGCAGCATCTTTTAAGAGGGACATGAGGAAAGCTAAAGGAAAAAAGAAAAATTGTACAAGGAGGAAAACTGAATGCATCTATCCCCAAGCAACACAGATTCTAGGGTGCCTGGAAGAAGGACTACATTTTATTTTGCTCTGTTTTTTTTTTTTTTAATAAGGTGTTAATCTCATAATAAAATAAGAAGAACCGATATTCCTCAGGTGTTAAAATCAGAAAAAAATATTTACAAATTCAAGCACTGGCAAGTTTTATACATAAAATTTTAACATAAAATGGCTCTCTAGATCTTTTTAAGGAGTTTATGTCCACACTCTTCTCTGTTGTTGATCATCTTAGGAGGCACATAAAATGGTTTTGACGGTATTATACACACAAATTAACAACTTCAGTACACTGTGACTTGGCGCATAGAAAATGAGTTCCACGGACCGTGCATTCCGTTTTCTTCTTTAGCAACTTCCTTGCTAACCAGAGTTAATAACTTGGTTTCTAAAGAGACATAACACAAATAAGACTATGTAAGAACCAAGTGTGTATGTACTAAGACCTCAGCTTGGTGGAAGGCCAGATACTGTTTTCCTTCGCTCCTGCCTAGACTGACTTTCCAGTAAAAGACTGTCTTTCCTCTGCTGTGGAGAAAAAGCAGAAAACTTCAGCTCTGATGGAACAAGCCAGAAGATGGTCCACAGAGCCCTCAGGAGTTCTGAGGCATTACATTTCCTGAGCAAGCACGAGGCCTCAATAAAAAACTGTAACATGCTGAACAGCAAGGACATCAGGCTCAGGTCTAGCAAAGCAAGGAAAAAAGGGGGAAGTTTAGACTCCAGAATTAGGATCAACTGCTGCCTGAGGGTATGTCCGTCACGGATACCCACCGCATTTGAATTAGCAGCTAGCTGTACAGTAATTTATTCTGTTTATTCTATTCTATAGTAATTTACTCCCTTTATGTGTTATTTTATTTGTGCACTTAAACTTAAAAAATAATATAGGGACATTTATTAGAGGATAAGCCCCTACAATAAAATCTTAATATCTGAACAGCCATAATTCCCATGTCAGTCCTAATATTAACTCTAAAGCTATGATTTTAGAAGTTAGTCAGGATACTAATATCTATGCAAGTATTTTTTTCAAACTTAAAATTTATTCATTCAGCATAACTTGATATTACTATGGCATAAATAACTAGATATACTGCAGAAGTGTTTATTTTAACCTGTTTTACGGGAATTACTTGACACCTCATCTAGTAGGAAAAAATTTGTACATTATACCTTGTGTTTCCTTTTTTGATATAGTAGCCAGGTTTCCTTGGAAATATATACAATTGTTCCGGGCGGCGTGCCATGTCAATGTATCATTTTCATTAAGGCCAAACATTCTGAAACACTGAAAAACAGTAGTGTGCCAAGGTTGTAATTAGACAGCTTTTCAGAGTTTCTGGTGATAACTTTTCTGTTTGTAACAACCAAGATAAACTGGTTATTCTAAACAAAAAGGGAGATCAGCTGATCTAAGTCTTTTCTGGCTTGAAAAGGTCTTTATGAAAGAAAAGATAAATCCTAGGAAACTAGTATAAACCCTCACATTTTAGCATCTACTTAAAAGGAAGAACATGACAGTCTATATAGCTTCAGTGGAAATGAATCTAAAGCAATGGTTCCTCAGCATTGCTGAGGTATGACTTTGTGCGAGGAATGCCTGAGACCTCAGAAAACAAAGAAGATGAAACAAGGATAAGATGTTATTGAAACTAAACATCTAAGTTTCCAGTTGCCCTGTTTGTGATACTATGCTTGGTTTTCATAGGATAATCACAGAAAGAGAATGATTCTAACACTAGTAAGAAAATGGTGAATTTGCCATTTCTTGTAATATGATTTATGAATTTTAATCAAGATGATGTTAGACAGCGCAGTTAGAGTCAAGCAACATAAAATCAGGAATGTGCTAATTAAAGTATACAACAGAAAAGTTAATTGGGCACCCTGGGGAAAGAAGTCAGCAAAAGCAAGGTGTCTCCACAGCAGTCAGAAGTGGTGCCTAAATACTCAGACAGGTGTCAAGGAAGGCGACTCTGGGAGCTCCTCTTCCAGGAGGAGAGAGACACTTTAGCTTTAGAGAACACTACAAAAGGGAACAAACTCTGAGTTTGTGCCTCTTTTCCCCGTGACTGAGAGAGTGGGGAAGAAAGAGAAGATAGCAGCCAGGTACCTTAAACAAAGGAGCTCTGTCAAACTGAAATCTTATTTAGACTTAGTCAAAAGAAAGATAGATGAAGTTAGATGAGACAAATAAAGTAGATAAGGATTATCTTTATTGCTAGCTATCTTGAAATGCCATCTTTTGAGAAGGTTGACTAAGTGATCTTATTCAGTGAAGTGTGGCAATGCTGGATTACTTAAAAACCTTAACTAGATTACTTAACTGGATTACTGAAAAATCTTAACAAGTGTTTGGTTCTATAAAGAAACTAAGAAGTTTGCTCAACACAAGTGCCTCAGTGGCTTAAGAGCCAGTAGCATAGCAGCCATGGGATGGAGAAGTGTCCAAGTGACCTGTGACAGCCAAATAAGCTCAGCACAGTAACAAAAAACACACTACAGCTCTGAAGTTGTGCATCTCCACACAAGGAAAGTTGCTCAACCATTTTGGGTAACATCAAATAGCAGCATAAATATAAGATGAGGCTTAATTCTTGTATGGCTCATAACCTCTCTTATAACTGCTCTGGTCCCAATAGAGGTTAACACTTCTGTTTCAGGGAGGTTTATTTTTTAGAGTCTTTAATATACCCAACCAGAACATATTTTGTGATAATCCAGATCCCTGCGACAACTGTGAAAAACTGAACCAATAGCATTTTGTATTCTGTTCTTCCAAAAATATAATATACTGGCATTTCATAGTGTACCTTGTTATTAAAAAGGACCCAGCCTTCTGAACAACCACCCTTTGGGGGTGGTGAAGTGGGAACAACAGTTGGACGAACAGTATTGTTGAGCCTTTCACAGATGAATAACTCAACACTGCCACAGTTGAGATCATTCCATGTACCTGAAGGGAAATTGGAATAAAAGAAAAACAAAAATCAAACTGAGATTGGGATGAAAAATGTCCTTTCCTAATAAAAAAAAAATCTATTATAAGAAGTAGAACTGATTGCAGTATTTGTATTTCTCTCCCTTCTCCCTCAGAAATAATGAGTTATTTTTATTATATCCTCCTGAGAAACATTCAGGTTTCCAGCAAAATTCAAAATATGAAATATTTTGTCTGAGAACAGAAATATTTCAATATTGAAAAGCCATGGCATTGCCAAAGAGGAGTTTTACTTCAACTACTTAATTTACCCACTCTCTGTAAGTTCAGTCTGCCTATATAAGGTGCTTGCTCTTTGTTACCATATTACCCGAGCTTCTCACAGTTTTGCAGTCTTCCATGCACCTATTCTCCACACGGATGGGAGTGTGATGTAAGAGTATAACACTATCATCACCATCCCCATTTTGCATACCAGGAATGGAGAGAAAAAAGGCATTCACTTCATTAACTGTAGACATTTCCTAGGCAGATATTTACAGCAGAGATAATCACATGTGATGTTCAATGGAGATCTTGTCATTATAGTTCAATGAAGTTATGGATATTATTCTTCTTGTCTTAAAGAAGATATCTAAAACAGGACATAGCATCTACTCTGCAAAGGTGTGTATGTCCTTCCACTGACCTTTAAGAGAGCCTGGTAAGATTATCTCAGCTGTACATGTGGAGACTACAAATGCTTAAAAGTAGGAAAGAATAATTGCATCGAAGGAGAGCAAGTGCTTGGTGAGAATCAGCATAATTATCCTTCTCAGCTGTTTGTATTAAAAAATATTTGCACTCTTTTTTTTAAACATTAAAACACAGTATAGGATTGTATGGTATATGATTGGTGTATAGAATTGCATAGTAATAATCACAGCCATGTCCAAACCGTATATTGTTAGCAACTGCACAAATGATAACAGACAGTTGATGTCCTGGAGAGATAGTAACAAAATGGACAAAGATTAGAGGAGAAAATAATATTGACTCTACCTGCAGATGGTTTGATTCTTAACTGATTTGTTCATATTTAAAATTTTTGACAAAGCTAGGATTAAATTGCAGATGTAATCCAACACGTTAATTACATAGAGTCGAATTTTTTAAAAGGGCATAAATGAAAGAAGACAACATGATTTACCGCCTAAGCTTTTTAAATTCTCTATCAAATATCACCTTGCTCGGTATTATAACTCACCCAGCATCGCACACACAGTCTCCCAAGCCTATACTACACCATGCAGATAGAATGTTGTTACAGAACCCACCTGTTTGGGTATACATGACCACACAGTTTTCATCATTATTTGCAAAATTGGGTTCATTTGGTGCCCAAGCAACATAGTTCACAGGGCTTCCATCCATCCATCTGAAAGAAATCATGTTGTGAAATAATATTTGTTAGTAAATATGTTAATATTTCTTTTCAAAGGACATATTAGAGCTTTTTATTTTAAATACAATTTTAAATATCCTAGCTAACAAACATGCTTTGTTTTCTAGCTACAAGCAGTAGTATAAGACCTTTTAGGGTAGGCAAGATCCCTGAGCCACATACTGTTTCCAGTATCACTAGTAACCACTTTGTTAAACAAAGGTAATCTTTAATATTGTATAACTGTTGCTTTCATTATGCAACAATTACTTCCTAGTCCAATGATCCATACTGTCTCAAAAAAAAGCCAAGAACAAAGTGAAAAAAGGCTCAGTGTGCTAGAGGGGAGGATAACCAGGTGGGGAATTGCTGAGGCAAAAGGCTTTCAGACAATTTCAGCTCAATGGGTTTCCAGTTTTGGAGACTAAGCAACTGAATGTGTATTTGTACAAGTAAAATACAAATAAGGAATGTAACAGGTGGTACCTAACTTTTTCCACTTGCAAATCTTCCTGAACCAAATAGGAAAAAACGGTGTATAATAAACTAGGAATAAAATAAAGGGAAATGGTGGCACCATCATCCAGCAGAGAAAAGGATGAAATTAAGGAGGGAGCAGAAAAAACTGGACAAAACCATTTTTCTGAGCAGTGGATGTGGTGTAGGAAGCAGTAGTTCCAGGAGATGAGACTATATGTTCTCTGTGGCTTGCAGCCAGGGCAGACGTCCTGAGAGGACAGGAGAAAGGCTGAGACGGAGAGGCTGAGACTCATCTCACCAAGTTCAATATCTCAGGAGGCAGCACTAGAGAAAGGGAGAAAAGTGGGAGCGTCCACTACAGACGCAAGGGAAGCGTATCTGTAACTCACCTAAGGCTCCATGGATATTTATGATGTTCCTACGGCACTTTATTTCTGAAGACATTTGTAGAAGAGTAACGACTCCACACAGCCTGAAACCGTCTTGCCCTGGACTCTGACATTATAACCATCTGGAAATTACCTTCCAGATAGGGGCTATGAGCTCTCCAGTACTGCTATTTCGCTTCTAAAAAAACACAGTGAAGCCTCACTGTAAGTTTGGTTTTTGTTTGTTTGTTTGTTTTTTTTTGACCTTTTCAATACTCAGTGTCTACAAGTGAGGTGATACTGCCAGCTGAAACATCCCTAGAGAACTCCAACCTATTTTTTCTTTCATCTAACAAGGAAAAGGGGATGACACTACAATGACTGCCAGCAAGCATGTCAGCCCCACTGATACAACAGTAGAGCCTAGAACCAAAGAGAAGGGAAAACAGACAGTGCAGATATCATGGGAGGAGTGCTACCCTAAGGATCACAATCTTATTTTAAAGCTTTATGCCAAGATACAGCTGTAGACAAGTTTTGTCAGTCATTGAACTTCAATGGTCTCTTATAGACAGCCTTGCTGAATATTCACACTTAATACATGATATTTGACAAACCTTTTTTTTTTTTTTTTTTACTTACCGGAATGTTTTATCAAGGCTCACACTTAAGCCAATATAAAAGTTATTTCCCCGGTCTTTATAGAAACTCTAAAACACAAAAAATAAGATTTTAATGAAATGTAAGAATACAGTTTTCAAATAAAATAAGGAAGCTCTCAAAACTGGTTTAGTTTCAGTTTGCATAGTATGTAATGTGCAGGGAGTTGCTGGGATTATGTACCTGATCTGCAAAATGCAAAACTTTCTTCTGATTTCTAGTATTTAAGTAAAAAGAAAAGCAGAATGGGACAAAAAATGGAGGGAAAAGCTATGTTCAGAAAATAAAAACATCTCTTAGGCAGGCTATAAAATAAAGCAATATTTTTAAGAGTTTAGGGAAAATACAGTGAGAATTTCTGAAGGACTACTAGTAAATGTTTTTTTTTAGTATTCATTCATGTGGAGGGAAGGAAGGAGTCATATTTGTTTTGAATAATATAAAAACTTTTTCCAAAGAAATGAATTATCACCAGGCTATTCACTTCCTATTAGAAAGTATTCTGACTTAAATTTTTTACTGAAAACCTGAAAAATACCAGCAGTTTATAAAAGAGGGGAAAAGCTTTTCTTGAATTTTGTAAAGAGAATGGGTGGAAAAAGTATACTCAATGACTGTAATTTTCATCTAAGAATGAAAGGGATTTTGAAAGTTGCTCTCAGAGTGTTCAGCAAAGAAGCTGAGGATTTGTCTACACGTGGCAATTAATCAAAATAATGATTATGGTAAAAGATTTAAGTAGATAAGCCCATGAAAAGTAGCATTGATTTTTTTTAATGGCAGGGAGCACTTTCTAACATATCAGAAGCCAGCTGACCAAGATGCCTCAGTGTTGTACAGAACTATGTATTTTTGGTGTAAAATATTTTTCTTACATATTTCCAAAGAAAGTTTTTTTCACTTTCACTCTCAATGACAGCAAGATCACCACCATTCTTCCTGCAAAAATCCCTAGCTTTTTCCATAGGCATTGGTTCCTTGCTGAAGTAGTATTCCTTATGATGATATATTATCCAATCATCTTCACTAACATCATATTCATAATCTGCAAGATAAAACATTAAGCAAAGTACCTGTAATAGAAATTAGCATCATTATATGATAATTTCCTTCTGGTATTAGAAGTACAAGACTTACTGAATGTGGAAGTAGGTTCTGGTTTCAACGATGCTCCTGCAATATAAATCAATATCTGACTATATTATGTCTCAGATATCTTCTCTCAATTAAATATACTTTAATAGTTATTAACATTTTAATTCCCAAAACTAAAATGAATTGTAGCGATTATTCAGTAGGTTTATTTTTGTCACAGAATTTCTCAGAACATATGCAAAAATGTTACACTCAGCAATATACCACGTCAGAGCTGATCACAAGTTAAGCCCACAGAAAGTATGCATAACTTCAGACTACCCAATTTCACTTCTTCATTACGTACCACACAGATCTTAAACTTACATACAGATCTCACAGACAAAATTCATGCTTTTATTTAAATTGAAAATTATCAATTGCTTCAGTGTGCTTGATGATACAGCTGGCTTTCATACATGCAGATGGTGGGATGTGACCTGGAAAGGATGCTCTTATCTGTCTCTACAAGATTTTAAGAAAGAAAGTCACCTTACCTTTTTTTATTTGACAAACATAGTCATGCATATATTCACAAAATAAATCATTCCATTTCATATTATTGTAGCCGTTAAACACTCCACATTTTTCATTCCCATCATAATTGTTTGGTTCTCCACCTGCCCATTTTTCAAAATTTACCTGTAGTGGAAACATAGCCCTGTTACTATTTTTCTTTTAAATCAAAACTATTCTCTCCTGTTAAAGGAGAATGTGTGTCACTTAATTTCAAGGTCAGTCTTGTGTTTTGGTGCCAGACCTTGTAAGGAGAAAGACATGGCCCTTGTATAGAGTAGTGATTCTTCTGTGTATTTATAAGTCATGTTAACAAGCTGAGAAATTGTGGCCCTCCTTGTTATCAGGAGAGATGAAGTTGTCTTGTCAAGCTCTGAGAAGAAGTATCCAAGTACCATCCTCTGACCACTAGGTTGATTATCCTGCTCTAATGTTTCAACTTGAGTCAATCCACATGTGCTGCTATACTGACTTGGCCCTTGCAGACCTTGGGTGAGGCCAACAGAGCTTAGCTTGAGAGACATATAACATTATTTCTAAGAGTAAATAACAGATAGGGATATAGAGATTAGTATGAACTAGATTTGCTTAACTAAGAGAGACATTATGAGTATTTAATCACCTTTGATGATATTGCATATGCTCAAAATGTCATATTGTTATATACAATTATGAATAATCAAAAAATAAAAACTAATTCCTAGAGTGGGATTGGAAAGTAAAGACTTAAAGGCACTTGTGGCTGGTATAGGAGGGGTCGTGTGACAAGATATATACAGAGAATTAGACAAAGAGCTGGAACAAGAAATTATTTACTCACTGGTGAGCCATCACTCCATATAAATCCTCTGCCAGAGTCCAGGGCATTTAAACCCATCCAGTAAGATGAGTGAAGATAATCTTTGTCTCTGAATGATTACACATGAATATAGACAATCAATCAGGCACAGTGGAAAATAGAGAAAAAGGCTACATGTCATTACATTCTCAGTGTTTTGGCACTTAAAGTATCTGAATGCTGACCTGCCTGTGCTCATATGCTTGAGCTAAACATATGTATAAGTGCATCAATAAGTCAGGCTTTTCTTAGTCTCCAAATTTTTCCTGTTAATTAAGGAAGGAAAGGAACCTTTTACAACAGAAAGTATTCCTTTAATCTAGAGTATTTCATCCTCTGATCAACTACTAATGAGCTAAAAAGATAAAGTTTACCTCTTTGAACTAAACTCAGTTGAAACCAGCTTCAATGTTCCTCTTTTCTCTCTATACATGTCCCTGCTGCGTCAACACATAGTACTCCCTCTCCAAAGACCTGCTAAGAAACTCTTTTGCTCACCTTCTTCTACCCATTTACTTCTGCCACTTTGCAAAGATATACATTGTCTTTGCAAAGTAGAAACTGATCATCAGAAATTCTTTATGTCTTTCAGAAGGGTAGTTTTTTAAATGTTTTATCCCCTATATCTAAACAACAGGTTGTGCAGATACTCACAAGTCAGATATTAGATTTTGCTCTTGTTCACTATGGATACTGGCCAGATCTCCTCCAATGGCTCTGCAAAAATCTCTTGCGCCAAACCATGTTTGCATTTTCTCCCTTCCCCTCTGGAAAAGCTACAAAAAATGGACAGTTAATTCCTGTGTCAGATATTACAGAAATTTGGATACATTCAGAAATTCAGAAAGCTTCTGTCTTTCTCCTGGTCCCCTGCTCTGTGGGCAATTACTATTTAACTGTGCCACCAAAACCTGTGGTCATCTATCAAATTTGATTATTGTAACTTTGCATTGCCTGTCATCTTTGTGTTCCTGTGAGTCCATACTGCAATTTCATCTGCATATGTTACTCTCCTTCTGGTCTTGCCACACCACCCCGAGGCTGACTGGAACCGTGTTACCTCAGAATAACTACGAGGTAAAAGGGGTAAAATCTATCCTTCATACATTTATGTTTTATGTTCTCATTTGAAATCACACACATTTGCGTTTAGCAGTTAAATACCTACTTTGAAGCAAGAGCTACTTTGAGGAATTGATTGCCACCCATCTGGGCACGATGGAAGAGGAGTCGTTGTTGGAGGAGGAGGGGGGGTCACTCCCTGAACCAGTTGCTTGCAGAGAAACATGTTTTTCTCTTCACAGTTCAAAATATCCCATAATCCAGCTGAAGTTCCTGTTCTCATAGCCACACAGCCTGACTCCCTTCCTTCATAAAACATAAAATTCACAAACCTAATTGATAAAGATCTGCATCTTCTCAAAGCATGTTCTATCTACTGAAAGTTAGCTGACTCCACTGTGTTTGGACACCAATAGCTCGTATGCATTTCAATTAAGTCATAAAGAAATTTTATCACATTCCTCTTATATTACACTGTGAAGCACCACAATATCAAACAATCAAATAACAAAGAGAAAATGATACCAACAAACACACTCAATCCCAGACAGCCAATTGGGAAATGGGGATGGCCTGTTCCACCATCCCCAATGTGACACCTTTCTCTCTAGTACAAATAGATAGATATACTGTCATTTCTGCAGCTTTAAGCCAGAAGAGTTTCAAAACAGCACTTTGGTTTTGAAAACCTAACTTCTTGGGCCCCCCGACCAGAAACTTCAATTCTGTTTCCACAACGTGTACCTGGCATTCCTGAGTTCCAGTTAGTGAATGTAACAGCTTCGCCACTGGCCCATTTGAAAGTCCCCTGCTCTTCCGCATCTGAGAGAGCGATCCAGAAATACTTGGCTGGATTGAATCCAATTAAAGAAGTCAAAAATGCTTGTTCATATCTGTGAAGAGTAAGTTCCAAGAGGACGTTGTACTAATATTTTATCCTAATTTATCCATTTCTTCAAACAATTCATAATACCAAATTTAGTAAAGTTAAAGTGATTTTTTAATATGTGAAAAAATAGCACGGATAGAAGCAAGAGCAATTATATTACCCTTAAAATTCTACTTATCGTGTAAATTGTTTATATTATAATTTTATAATGTAAGTTATGTTTATAATTTAGAGAGATTCTATTCTCCTTTTGCACCTTGTTCATTGTACAATGAACAGCATAAGCCAGGAGCACTTGGGGTAATGCATGTGTGTTACTTACTCTGTAAAAATAAGCAATTCAGTGTTTTATTGAGCTTTGTGATAAGATCTAGATAATTGAATCTTGTTACTCTAGGAAAAATTTTACTTTTATTCCAAAAAGGGTAAGTTTCCAGATCTCCCTGTTGCAAAGAAAAGGCCGAAAAGCTCAACACCAGAAGAAATAAATAGTTCCACATGTATTTGTTTATTTTTAGTTCAATGAGTTTTAAAACAATCTGGCACTTCTGAGGGGGAGAGGAAGTTTTTTAATTCCTGGGGTCAGCAATAGTGTAGATGTGTAGTAGCAGGCGTTTGAACATCTGTATTGATGACATAAAGCCCCTGCTTCAGCTCTACCATACATATTCCTGTGAAAGGAATGGTGTCACATTAGACACTATTACTAAATGCAGACTGGGAAGTGATGACTTTCTTTGGCCCTTCCATCTTGGTTGCACATGTGAAAGGACAAGCATTTTGTTTCCATACCTGTCTTTCACAGTAGCCAGGTAACTTTTGTTTTCTTCACAGATTTGTTTTGCTTCTGAAAATGTTGTTGGTATCTGTCCCATGGAATAACAGTAAAAACCATGCTTTGTCCAGCCCTGCCAACGTAAACAGCAGAAATGCACAGGAGGTTTTGTAAAATTCCACAATGCTAAACTCTTCTAAAAGCTACATTATTGCTACATGCTAAGTTAAAATTAATCTCAGAAGCCATAAGAAAAAATGAAGGGGATAATCAAATGGTCTTTGTAACCATAACTGTTTCTTCCTCCTTGATAAAGGGCACACAAGAACAAAAATTTCAGGTCTTCATGAGCAATGGGCCTTGCTTATGATTTGGAGCTGGAATGCACGTTCATCATCACTTTGCAGGTCCTTTTGTAAAGCCTTATCTGCTTTAACATCGTGCAACTCTACTGGCACTATCGTTTTTTCTCCTTAGCTGTTGCAACAGGCTGTATTACAAACAATCTGCAAGATAGTTTATGCAAATATTCCTTTTGTGGCAGATATACTGAACTGAGAAGGGTGCTGTGCCACCCACGACCTGTGGGATATAAATAATAATGACATGGTCTGCAGAGAGCAGTTTTTATGGGACCTGAGCTGAAGTGACCAGCTTTGTTTAGAGAAGAGAGCTGGGCGAAGTGAGCACATGGAGGAGTGAAAAAAAGAAGCTGGCCTTTAGTCTGAAAAGTGTGAGTACCTACAAATTAACAGTTTTCTAGGACTCCACCAAGTGCAGTCAATGTAAATGACTTCTGAGACACAGCTTAACCATCACGGGAGTGAAAGTAAGATGCAACGACCTGAATAAATCACTGCTTTTGTTTTACACTTACTTTCTCGCAGCCTGGGTAAGTAACCTCAGCTTCCCCTGGTTCTTCTGCCAAAGGTTTCCTTTTACAGATGTAACCAAGTTTCTTTTCACATGCACTGTCAGCCCAGGAGCCATCCTGAGCATTGTAACAAGAGAGCACAAAGAGGTCTGAAGAAAATCCAGATCCAATATGAATATTTACCATCCTCAGAGAGAATCTAGATCTCTCTACTTTTGGCTGAGGTCATTTCAGCTCTCTTCTCTGCCTTGCTACTTTCTCCGTTGCCCCCAAGTAGGGAATATAATACAGTGGGGGTAACATTTCCTCAGAGATCTCAGAATTAGTGTAGCATGCAATAAAGGTTCAGTGACTGATGAGAACAGTAAGGAAATACTCTGTTCCATTCTTTCTCACTAGCATAGTGTTTATAACGTTCATATACCTGGATGACACTAGAAATAAAATGTTGGATAAATTAAACATAAAATATTAAACATACATTACTTAAGCTTTTCTCCATAGTATTATGATACATCATTTTAAACTGAGTATAAAACAAGATAGATTTTTTTGTGTTTCCAGTAATATCAGCTTCCAAATTGGCTCTAATAAATACATGTGTTAGGTGGTTTAGGGGAAACATATGAATGTCCTTGCACCAAGAGTCATATTATGCAACTGTAATCGGCCATTGTATGTGGGTGATGAGTTACTTTAATCAGTTTCAAACGGGAGATTTGTTATAATTATTACAGAGCAGACCAAGCCTCAATGCAGCACAGTGCTTCTTGTGCTCTACCATACCTCTTTCTGCATCTAGTATCTAGGGTCCCTCCACACTAAGATATTCTGCATTAAACTAAGTTCTTAAAAACCTAAAAATAAAGGCTAGAATCTTTTCTTTACATATTTTTTTTCACTGACTATTTCCTTTTGGGGGGCCCAATGGACAAAAGAAAGCATGAAAGTGTGAGAGGTTTTTACCTCTCCCTTCATAATGATGCAGTCTGCCTTATCCCGTGTGTGGGTTGGCTCTCCTTGATGCCACTTGGTATACGTCACTGGTGTCCCATCGCTCCATTCAAAATACATTTGAACCCTGAAATCGTTTAGACCAATCCACAGCTCATCGTCAGGCTCTGCGAACACAAACATAATTGCAGGTGTGGTTGTGTCTTAAAAGGGAACATACACATCTCACACCCACGGGAGACTGACTGAGCGAAAAAGCTGATTCCTACCATATTTTTTAAAGATCCTTAAGGCCATGGTTACAATTAAATCAATAATATTGACATTGTAATTCCAGGTGAAAGAATGACCTGCAGGAATACTCACTGTACCCAAGCTGAGATACTGTAAAACTGTACTCCTCAATATTATGAATACTCATCAGCTCTCCACCTTCTTTTCTACAGGAAGACTGGGCTGCTTTCCATATTTTCGGTGTTCTGAAAATTATATAGCAATGACCGGCATAGGCCACCCATTCCATGGGGCATTTAATAGACTTTAAGTCACCTAAAAAGAGTTATTTCAAACAATTAATGAGCAGTCCTGATCAGTGCTTTCTGATAATCAAAAAGAAAATGACTGATATTGACATACATTTGAAATATTGTGGCACATACCAGTAGAAAAGAAAAACAAATGCATAAGTAACATGAAGAATACAAAATGGATTTTCCTGTCAGCACAGTATTGTCATGCTTATTTTTTCACTACTAGCTACCCAAGAACCCTTTCACATAAGGAAATTAATAAAAAGTAATTTGATATGCAACCTAGCAGAGTCCTACTTTGTGCTCAATCCTTTTCAGCAAGGGATACAGCCATGTTTTTTCAGAATGGGGCCTCTATTCCTGCCGGGAACTTTATCACTGAATTTTGAAGACTTTCTGTGTTTTTCTTTGGAAACACCAGGTGCTTGACAACCAGCTGGAGCTCCTGCACAGCCCAGATCACACATCCAGAGAGCCCAGGCACGTTTGTGTTGTATCAGAAGTGTCAGAACTACCAGCTGCACAGAAATGCAGCACACCTCCTGCTGTGACTATTTCTTGGTGTGAATTTAGTATGGTCAGCCATCTTGCATTTTGCTGAATGCTTATATGGTCTATCCCTGTACGAGCAAACTGAAGAGGGCAGGAGGTGGGCCCAAGCAATGGCATATGATCATCTCTGTTTTTCAGTCATTGTCACGCTCCCTAGACATGGTTTTGGCCTTTGCAAACTTGCACTCCCCTAGAAAATGTCTAGGCATGGTTTGGAGGTTAAAATGGATCAGAAACCATTTCCAGTACGCTGTTTCGGGTGCAGCCAATCTGGGAGGGTACGAGTATAGCGATCCTTGCTGTGAGGTGCCGTTCCTCCTAGGAGCCGAGGAATAATCATATTTATTATTAGAGTTGTGGCTGAGGGAGCAACTCCAGGTAGGAATTCCCATGTGGACTAACTGCACACCATTTTCTTCATGTAAATAAGATCTGAGTCTGCCTCAGGTCTAAAGGAAACTCAAATAGGAAAAGGTGCCAGACCCATATTCTGGAGTTGTCCTTCCAGAACAGAGCAGAAGGGGTCAGGCAGAGCAGGTGGGGCGTGAACTCTGGATCACACCTTTTTGCAGGGCGCAGCTCTAGAGTGTTTTGCAGACCACAGAACATTCATCAATATTTCATGATCTGGATTACATGACCAAACAAATAATCCTGCCTCCTTCAGTACTCTGGAATCTTTTCAGAATGGCCTTTAGTTGAACAATATCTAGATATCATCTTTAAAATGAGCAAGATAATTAAAGTCTTCTGAGTGTTGACCAAGGTCAACAAGTGTAACACTTTTAACAACACACAACACAGAAGGCTTATATGTAATGTCATTTCAAATATGCAATAATGGCATCTTCCCGTTATTTCTCATTCACTGCAAAACCAGCCTTATATTTGACCAACTTACTTGAGGTAATAGTGGAGGAAGCTAAAGAAGCGTTTCTCTTTTGGCAGATATATCCCAGTTTCCGATTACACTCTTGGTTTTCCCATTTGCCATTCCTACCTTGGAAGGTCCCACATATTTTTCCAGATTCCACAGAGGGATTTCCTTTAGGAAAAGGGCACAAAATACAGACAATCACTATGTTAATATCAATTTTCATCTCATCACAGGAACGAATGTGCAAGTCTCTTGCACCCACACAGCCACTGTTATGTTATTCCTCAGAATGAGAATTCCTAAGAGAGGTGGTGAGGGAAAATCACTGAGCCAGTCCACAGAGCTGACGGTTCAAACACTAGACTTCCCCCTCCTTTCCCATGCACTTCCTGAGGAGAAATTCAGTGTGTTTGGAACACTCCAGCATACAGGCAAACACTTCATAGAAGATCAGCTAAGAAACAATTTATGTTGGGTGGTAGTATGGCAAGCAGCTAAGCCTCCTTTACTGTTAGACATTGAAACTGAGATGAGGATGCAACTCCATGGGAATGTTTGTCCTTTGGATTTTCTCTGTAGTTACAACAGCTATTATGAAAATATGTAAAATGGTGAGCTAGATGCTAAGAAAATAGCAGAAACTTATTAATAGATAAAGTTAATCAGGTAAACATCATAAACAAACAATAACTGTGGAGAAAAATTGAAAATGTATTTTATGTGATGTTTCCCTTTAGAACATATTTCATTTTTCCTGAGTTTTCCTTTGGATTGAATAATATGCCTGATTTCCAATTGTGCATGGAAAATCAAACACTGAAGGAGGTGCAAATGCATATGTTTATATGTTTTCTTGGATGAGCTATCTGCTTTTTATGGCAAATTCAGAATTAATGACCAACCATCTCTGGTACAATCCACATTACTGTAATGTCCTACTTTTCCCTATTCCCCCAGGATTTGTGACAATTCTGTGAAACTGAAGAGATTAGGTAGCAGAAGTTTGGACAACAGAAGATAATTTTGGCCCAGATACTGATCATCATTTCAGAAAAGTGCACTTACCTGGAGCCCAGTTTAGATATCTGAAAGGATTACCCCCAGTCCATTGCCAGCCACTGTCAAGTGTACCAAAAAGACCAATCCAGAGCTTAGCATTAACACCCAGGTCACTAGTGAGTCCTAAGTGTTCAAAATAAAAGAGCAGACAAGTTATTAAATGCATCTGCTTCTGTAAGTTACTGAAGGAAACTTAAAATGAAATTTTAAAATGTGGAAAAGGTCAAAGTGTCATAATAGATACCTATTTTACATGGGCTTGAATTTTTCTGCTATTTTAATAAATGTTTTGTGAGAAAGTGACAAGCTTTTTAGGAATGCCACTAAGACTTATTTTCACAAGGTATTTACCCTTATAAATATTTATAAGTATCCAAGTGAATGCCCTTGGGTTTGACCTACATTTTAACCACACACAGTTTTGTTCTTTTTTTTTACTTTACCTAATAAATACATTTCTTCATGAAGGTCTGTGACACTTAGTAATTCTGCATTCTGCTGCTGGCAGCTTTTCCTCGCTTCGTGCCATGTCAAAAGTGACTTTGAGTTTATCTGATAGTGGGTTTCTGTCAAAGGGTTTGTTTTCCAAACATCATTGTGGATACCGTCTATAAAATATGGCAACAGCAATTTCATAAGATAGTCATACTTGCTAGCATGGAAAACAAAATCTTCATTGCAGACTATAACTATGTAGTTGTATGATTTTCTAAGCTTTCACACAATTTGTCTCATTTATATATATTCTATTTGTTCAATAATATATACTCTATCTATTCAATATTATTATTAATAACCTAAGGAATTACTTTTCGTTACAAACCTGATTATTCTACATTCACTCTGTTCTAGGCCTTTTCATTTACAAACTCATCTACTTCTCTCACAGTTCAGTCCACATTAATCTACTCACTGATATATTCTACCCATATACACACATTTCCCTATTTCCCATACAGAAAATCTCAGGCTGCACATTTGATACCGTACCTCAGGTCCTTCTCTTGTACTCTCAAGCCCTGCCAACATCATAGAAACAACCACTTCCAGTCAACTGGGAGGCAGGGGGAAGGGTTTAGGGTTGCTCTTTTCTCACTGAAAAGCTCTGTTCAGTGGTTTGCAGGTGTAAGGACCACTGGGATCCCAAGGCTGTGTCCTGTACCCTTTCATTCATGCCAGCCCTCGCATTTCCTGCTCCATGCTATGATATATTACTGTCTCCTGACTCTGCTACGTCCCATCTTCCTTACGCAGTGCACTTCTTTCTGCCTCTCATTTGCCCTACTTTTCTCCTCCCTTAGTCCTAAGGATTTTCTCTTCCTTGTCCCATTGGTTCCAGTACCATCCGATGCTATACTGATGGCTCTTCCCATGCTCCCCATATCTACAAGCCTCTGCCTGGAGTACTGAAGGAGTACTCCTCATCTCAGTTGCAGAGAGAAAGAGTGAAAGCCAATAGCAGACATTCCATTTTCTCATTACGTAGCTCACTAGTAAAGTAGATTAGCCTGAATCCAGCTTGCTTTCCAATACTACTTCCATGTCCTGAGCAGATTTTGACAATGAAAGGGGATGAAACTTTTGCTTAATGCCTTTCCTGAAATTTTTATGAATAAATTACCTTTTAGTGGACAATTTCCAAAAAGTTGGTCTTTATCAAAATCTGAAGATGTTGCACACCAGAGAGTGCCTGCATCATCACTCCGAGGTATGCATTCAGCATACCATTTACCATTGAGCTTAAAAGGGAATACACAAGGTGCGCCAAAGGCATTTCCTCCCAGTGTAAACGTATCTAAGGACAAAAATGAAGAGCGACAGCAGCCAGTTGGTATCAGATGTTGAGCACAGCGTCTGCCTATAGACAACACTTCCTAGTGCTCCCTAGATCTTCAAGTACATACAGTTGTTTAGCTGCGTTATGCAAGAGCTGATGTGGAGAAAACATGTTATTGCCTAATTACTATGAAGTCTTCCAAGACTGTTATGCCAGTCAGATATGATGAGGGCAAGATACTCAGAATAAAGGCCCAGAACTAAACAATCTTAATTTGGCCCTCAGAGTAATTTCTATCCAATTTATTTTGTTAAAACGCTATCTGAAGCAGTGTTCCAGAAGTGCTCACGACTTAGCTTCACCCACTGCATACATCCTGTCTTTGGATAATGTTTGGGATTTTTTTTTTTAATTTAATGCTTGAGCCCACATGCCAAGTCTGCATAACCCAAGAAGGAGAGTAATGTAGGAAAAAAGAGATCTGACTGTTTAGTGCTCCTCTGTCTGCCTGTTAGACCCTATCGCACTCTAAACCATTAAAGCACCATTCTTCAATTATTATCAGAGGGTTGTTAAGGACAGCACATATTTAAGTGTAACCTCAGTTTTGACCTGCATAGCTGTGAACATCTATCTCATTTCTAATACTAAAAAGATTCTTGAAATAATTTCAACTTTTAAATTAATGACAAGAACTATAACAACATTTTTTACAGGTAATCCAGGCTTAACCAAAATTTGTGCCTGGAAAACAGAGGAAGGAGCACAACGGAAGTGTCTTACCGGTTTTAGCAGCCTATTAAACTAATAGGAGTATGCTTTCAAAGACAGCATTCACATTTACTGAATCCACTCTGAGACAATTCTTTTGTACAGCAAAGTTTGCATCTTTTCTAAAGGTTTAAATGATACTCTTTCCATTGTGGTTTTGATAAAATTAATTTCCTTTTATCTTTGAATGCAGTTTTCTTATCTAAAGGCCAAATGATGACCAAATAATGATCATAGGCTGAATTACTTTTCCTTATTGCTGGGCCTGAGAAACTCCAGGTGAACACTGTTAGAACTGGATCACATTTATATTAACTAGAACATAACTTTTTCGAGACAGCGCATGGTCAAAGCAAGTCATCCAACAATAAATATTTAATATAACGTAATTCCCCAATCCTTCCACAAATGAATCAGATAGATAGATTTTGAAAGAGTCATAGATCTCCTCCTGGGGTTGCTGTACCAATAGAATTCTCATTCCCCCAACCCATGCCTCTGTCTTTTTATACTTTTATTTGACAGAACTACACTCTCTAGGTTAGGCACAAATTTATTAAGTCATATACGCTTTGCATTTCTACTCTCTATATGTAGTCAGCTCTGCTACTGAGGTCACTGTGCAAAAGGGACTGCTGGATGACAAGCAGGTAGTCGAATGCTTTAAAAATAAAGTCAGCTAAGTTACTTTGAAACGTAGAGATTAATTTTCAGAACTCACCTTCATAGTGCTGAGAGCACACACCCTCTGTGGTTCCATAGATTTTCCACCTGCTCCCTTTGCCTGATCCTTTGGACAGCCTGATTTTCTTTCCCTGTCCTTTGCCATAGTTGAAAAATAAATCCTTGCCTTGGGTTGCAAGTGTCTCATTTCTACATTCCCACCACTGAAGTACATTTGTCTTGTTACAGGCTTCCAAAGTGATTGCAGCCTCATCGTCCTTGGAGAGCACTCCCAAGCACAGCTTCAGTGCCATGCTCAGCAGCTGAGTGGCAGAGATCCACCTGAACTTCTGGAACTCATTGTGCTGCTCACACGTGGTAGTTATGACTGAGCTAGAGTTTTGAGCCTGGGCACAGAGCTTGCTATCTTCATTATATATTGAAAATATTCCACTAGCTGTAAAATAAAATGAGAATTCAAATATTTGAAGAGAGATCAAATAGGAGATAGGTCGGTTACTAGCTATTTGACACTTTGCTACATCAAAAAGTGAGTATTTAGAGTCTATAAAGAAGGAAATCAAGGGAGATCTATCACCGCTATTACGGATATTCATCAAAATGTTCTCAAGACGCATACATGCAGAAACTGAAAATATAGTAACTCAAGGGAAATTGTTCTTCTACAGATCCCTCCTTAAAGCACACTTTTCTCAAAATGTCATTCAGAAATGACCTCTATTAAGTTTTATGAGTCCTTCAAACTTCCACCATCACACAGCACATTAAACAGGCTTTAATTTTGACAGTAAAGGTCCTTTTTGCTTTTCAGTTATTAAAAATTATTTTACACATTCACAATGTAATCATTGTTATACTTTACCGAAATCACATTGTATTTTTCAGCTCTTCAAACAAGTGCAGTCTTTTTCACTTTTTAAATTAATTAGTTTGGAAGTTTTTGGCAACTGTGAACAAACTGTTCAACTTGTGAGTTTCTTAGGAAGGAAATCACAACTTCCCATATCATCAGTTCAGTTCTGAGCAGCTAAGCTCACTAAGTGTCCTAAGTGCCATTAATAGCAACACTTTAAAATAGATATGTGAGGCACTGCAGAACAGTTAAGATTATTTCTTATAACCAACTTCAAAAAAGGGGGACTACATTAACAACTTCAGCCTGTCCTAAATCTTGACCATTTTTGCAAATGGCTTTGTTTTCCTTAGCTCCTCCTCTAAGTAACAGCAACATCATGCAGCTCACTCTCATGTCCCATTGAGCTGTATTGCTGCCAAGGTTTCTTGGCAAGTGAAGCAGTTAAATGTGGCTTCATAACCCCTTAGATCGTAGGGGTGCCAAGAGTGTTAGAACATCCTTGGTGTCATCTAACCGAAAGGCTGCAGAGCCAGCACATAGGCTAGATCGCATCCCCCCAGCACAGCTCTCCTGCTGTAGCAGTGCTTCACAAGGTTGGAAGAGAATGGGTTAGAGCCAGCTTGGTCTCACCCAGACATGTGGCCAGGAGAAATTCGCCTGCACTAGATCAGATCAGCACTGTTAGCGAGCTCCTGATGCTGTTCTAGTGATAGCACCAGACGCCCACTGGTTCTCTAGCTGGGAGTCTCAGCAGTAGGAGCATCTGAAATCTAGCAGACAGTGACTTTTAAGCTCCTTTTTAAAGCCTTCAGCTTGGAAAGGGATTACAACACGCAATTATCAGTATGCCATAGTCTACACGTGCTGTCTAAGAAAATCAATGCACCACATCAGTCACCGGTTCTGTGCATGATGAGAGGACACTGTCTTGTACATCTGAATTATTTTAACTTCCAGTAGAGTAGTTTTAGATCAGCTTTTGTCCACATTCAGCTAGCTGATTTTCAAGAATCAACATTTTCTCGGTTATGCCCACATCTGTTCTCACATTTCTTTCACTCATATCCTTCCTTGAAAACTAGTTTTTGGGATTAAGGAAATACAATGCCTATACAGGTATTACCAAATTTAAGAGTTGAATGAAACTGTTTCAAATTATATGCCATAAACAGATCAAAACTACATTCAGTCTCCACCAAAAAGAATGTCAGGAAGGCACAAGAGTACTTGCAAATCTCCATATTCAACAGAGGACATCATAGACTTACCAGACACTTGGAGATAGATACTAAAGAGAAAAATCAGGAGCAGGTAGACAGCCATTATCGAATGTTTCACTCCCTTCTCTCCTTCACCTCAAACTGATGCTGAAGACTAAAGTTGCACCTTGCAAGAAAACATTTCTGCACTGAACCAGACTAGCAAATCTTTTTCAGTTTTTAAGGCTCCAAAGATACAGGGAAGTTCTGGACTGTAAATAAGGAACTGTATCTTGTCACATGAGTAATTTTGAAATAATACCTTAATGAATAAGCTTTGCTTTCTAAGCCAGTTTCTCTGCTGTATGTACGTGTCTTTTCTTCCATGGAAATACTAGATCCAAGAGGTCACATTTCAGTGTGGATTTCTGGAAATACACCTTACAATTCAGGGTCATTATTTTTAGGAAGAAGTTGACATGAATGTTTCTCTACTGGAAATAAAGGAAAAGGTAAAAAGAAGGGGAAGTTTTGTGTGTCAGTAAGAAAAAAAAGGCAGAGTGCAACGTAGTATTGTGAAAAATTGCCTGGGACAAAAATACAAATCAAGTACCTCTGACCTTAGAATTAGAAAGAATAAAAATTTCCCACATCTGCAGTTCCATAGAGAAGAGCAGAGCTGTAGAAAAAGCACTTGCCTTCTTAGAGAGGCACCTGTCTCTTCTTTGGATCCATTCTGGGCTATATGCAGGAGTTATGAACCCAAACTGAAAGCAGCAATCGACAAAACCCTGCCAAGAAGCTACACAACTCTAGGACGAAGATAAACTAACTGGAAAACTGAGGGATTTTCAATTATTGCTACAGTGGAAAATGAAACTGACAAACATTAGTGCCTACATTTATAATCTCTGCTCTGTGAAAGTTAGCATCCCCTAAAGTGCACAATCTTCAGTCACGCTGACAAAATTCTGATGTTTACTTTGACAAAATTCTCACCTCTCTGGTATGTAGAAAAATTAGAAACATGGAGAGGGTAGGGGTGGAGAAGAGAATCTACTCCCATCATAGGTTTTTGTATTCTTGAGTATGCCTAAATGAAAGGCCCTTGAAAAACGTGTTTCTACAGCTTCAGCAGAGGCTGGTTTGGGCTAATTTTCCCAATATTCTGTTTGCAGTGACCACTCTTTAAGGTCCTTTATGAGCTATGGAAACCAAACAAGACTGCCTGAAAATTGCTGCTGTTGTACAGAACAGGAACACTGGGCACCTACATAAAGATCAGGGATCCTGCCTCTGCTGCTCTGACTCAGATGCAGATAGATAACTTACGGAGTATAAAAAGGTACATAAGGGACTAGAGTAGAATAAGACTTATAGCATTAAGAGGAAAAAAATTGGGACCTGAGAGACAGCAGGTAGAGCTGGACCAAAAATCTAGGAAAGGGCAAGAGCCTAGGAAAGACACTGAGAGCTGAGGAAACTAGGAGAAAAGCTAGGACTGTGTTGACAAAGAAACAGATGGACAATTACTGATTGTCTTGTCATGTATATGCAAAGATGACTACATCCAGTCTGGAATTCTGCTATTTGCCAACATGGGAATGCTTAACTATGCAACTTCAACTTTCCACTAAGATAATTCTTGCTATCTTTTTTGGGGGGGGCCTTTAGATATGAAAATGGAGACAATATTTTTAGTTATTATTTAGGCAGGAGAAACAATGTCTGGTGGTTCTGCTATGCAGACAGGATACACAATGTCCCAGCATCTTGAAAGCTACAAGGAGCAAACAAATACAATTACAACAGAGAAACTAGTCCTGTTCTGAAGAAAGGCTGGTCCAGTTTGATGAAGGACTGCTATCAATGACCTGCTGAGATAGGCTGAAAAGAGCAAATCATACTATGCTCAACTTCACCTCAGCGCTTGTATGTTTGTCTGAGCAGATCCCTTCACAGTCTAGAAAGTGGGAAAGGAAACCTGAAGGTTGCAGAGACATACTCTAGCATCTTCCACTAAGCAAGGCACAGCCTGAAAGCTTAGAAGTTGTGAGGAAGAAAGGCTGCAGGGTTTAGCATTGCTGATTCAGCATTGTTCCTTTGCCAATCTCTGCTTCTCCGGCAGGAAGTTATGCTCACAGCGTGCCTATTCGCCACCTTTTCTCTGAAGTTTGGACTCTTTTGGAGAAAAGGGGAAATGAAAATTAAGCAGAATTTTATCAAGAAGCATAGCAATGCGCACACAGACAAATCTTCACATGCTGTAGCCCATCACCATCATGGCATGCCTCAACTGCCCAAAGAAATAAATTGGTTGTTCCAACACAGGTTCTAGTAGATGCTCCCCTACAGAAGTTAAACAATTCATTTTCACAAAACATTGAAACATTGATCAGTTTGGGTTCATAACATTCATATTAAATTGAGAAAGGAATACTATGATTATTTATCCTGATATAACTTGACACAAAAATTCAACTCAGAATCCCCATATATAGCACAATCACAAAGTTGCCAGCTGGACACAAAAAACTTTTCAAAAGGCACTGTCGGAAAACTGAGCAACAATTCTACTGGCTAAATAAACAAAGTGAGAAAACAACCTTTTTATTCCTCTAGACAGGCTCAAAATAGATTGAAAGAGCAGCATAACGCAGCTTGCACTATCATACTGTATTTTCATACTACATCATCAACTTTTTTTCTTCATTTATCTAAGCTGCCAAGAACGAACACAAGAAATCTTGGCAGAATCAGGGGATTATGGATATGAATTATAGTAATCAGTCAAAAAGTTTCCTTTGCTTTTCTACCTAGCCCTTCCTTTTCATCTTGTACATCAAGAGTTATTTCTGTCCATTTTTACAGCAAGGAAATTTCAGAAAAGCAAGATCCAAATTCCTCTGTGAATGTTTATTTATACAAGATACAGGCTTAAACCTTCCATAAGTGGTAGCATCCACTGGGGAAAAAAAGTAAGACACCATGAGAGCAACACAATGGTTCTAAGATGACTGACCAATCTGAGCAGGAATAGCAGCTGGCAGGAAAAAACAGCTGAAAGAATTGGTGATTGATCAGAATACATTAAGTCACAAATTATATGGCATCCATACCAGTGTGAATCGCTGTCAATATTGAATCCAATAGAGCAACAAGGATAATTTCCTCAGCCCAATCTTAGAAATATTTTTTAAGTAGCAATTACTTCTCAGGAACATTGTAGCTTAATAGCAGGAAAACAGGACATAAAGCAAGGTCACCAAGTGATGTTAGGTACAGGGAAGATGTAAATAACATTAGGCTATGGAAAGAGAATAGTACTTTTGGAACCACTCTATCAACAGTTCTTGAAAATGTATGACCAGTTTTGTTACAAGCATGACCAAAGGAATAATGTTGTTAAAAACTTAATACAGACTCTTGTATCCAGACTAGTTGGAAAAAAAGAAATCCCTTCATGTCCATTTTTATGATTACAAGCTCCCACGGAAAAGTTTTCTATTCAATCCTATGTTAATTAGATATTGGTGACAGTGTCCAAGTCTGCTGGTTTCTCTACCTTCCATTTAAAAATTGCTTTTAGAGTTCGTATGGGTGCTTAAGTACTGGTGCTCATCTTAAGCTTACTAAATGGAAACTCACTGATTTCCTGTGCTATAAATGCCACTGCTTCCATGTTTGCTTTTTTTTAAATGAGAAATTCGCTTCAATTCCATTGCATTGCATCTAAAGGAATGGTAAATCAGGCAGCTTAAATCTCCTCCTCTGAAACTCTTTCATATCTTTATCATTTACCCCCTTTCTAAAAAGAGTAGGCAAAGTATTTAAATTCATCTTCAGACTAAAAACATAGAGCTTCAGACTTGGAACTTTCTCTGTTTTTGCTGTATCCATTTGTCCAGGAGAGCAGAACAGATACAATATTTCACAGAGGTAGCTACACCTACTACTAGCTTGGAAGGCATGGTATTTTTAATTCTCTTCAACTCAAAGATGATGCTGGATTTTTGGCAGTGCAAAATGAGTAAATGAGTTCAGGACAATCCAAGGTCCAGGAGCTGCGTTCTCTCGCTGACCTACGTTAGCTGTAGAGCTGTACCTGCTAAGTTTGGTGAAGCACCAGAGTATGAGACATCTCCTCATCCTTTGTTTTCTTTCCAATAATACTTTGCATATTTACATGTCGATGAAATGTTATCTGGAAGAACCACTCAGCATGCACAGCCTTAAAGCTGTGCAGGGCCTCCAAGCAGGATGGAAAGTCTTTTGGGCAGAAACTGCACCTATTTGTCGTTTGCGCATCAGCCAGCGCAACAAGGCTGAGATTCCAGTCAGGGCCTCTTGACGTGGCTATGATTTCCCTACCCCTTTCACCTTCTAGCCTGCACCACTTGTTATAGATGACTTTCTCCATACATTTGAAACCAGTGATGACATCATCTTTAACATCATTATTCAGATTCAGTCAGGAGGTTTCATGATCCGTGCTGCCTAACCCTCCCATTTTGCAGGCCTTCTTCCCTTCATGAATCTTGACATTGCTTGGAAAAGATTTTTTATTATAACTCCATAGCCTCTTTGTGCTAGAAGACAAAAGTAGCAGCAAACGATAGCAGCACGTCCATTTTCCTCTGCTTTGTGAATTTGATGCTGCCCAAAAATCAAATGATTCCTGTACTTTCATGCACATAAGCCACAGATGAGGAGAGGTGAACCACCATTAAAAGTACTACATCTTGAAAAGAATGCTCAAACAATTGTAAAGATGTCCTTAAAAAAGGAAACAGCAGCAGGAACAGAGTCAATGACTGGGAGAAAGGGAACAAAGACAGAGGAGGAACAGGGTTCCAGAATAAATGTCTCCTTATCTGCCAGAACTAGTAATTCAAACTGTTGCTAAATCACTTAGCTGGCATTTTTCTCTCAAGTTTTAAGCAGATAATATATGCACAGATACAATAAAATATGGTCAATATATTATTTCATCACAGTTCAAGATGGAATATGGCCATATAATCTCCTTTTAACTCTGACTTATTACAGAGCCTTACATAGACAAGACTATAAAAATGCAAAACTATTTAAAAAAAATCAAAACTAGTTACTGTTTCGTCACAGAACAAAATCTGAAAAAAACCCCCGAACCTTGCACACCTTTATGTGAGGAACTGAACTCACATATGATTTACATTTTACAGGATTTACAAAAATGTTGATTATAAACTCTGCATTTGGGAATCTAAGATTTTGAGAAATGGTAACTTATATAGCCATTGACACACCTCACAAGCTACCATACTTATTGGGAGGGTATAGGTGAGCAGTTACAACATGTGAGCACCGTTAAGAGCCATCCAGTGCTCCCGCAAACCTTCAGGATATGTATAGGCAATGTTCCTCTTGCTCCTCAGTCACTGTTGTCCCGATACAGAAGAAGGTTTTGCCTTGACCTCATCCATACCACCTCTCCCAGACAAGCCCACTTGTGGCCAGTCAGAATACCCGACGGAACACCAACCACACCTTTCCACTCCAGAGGCCCGCCCCCAAATTTTACCTAATTAAAATCCTAAAATAGATATGCTGCAAGAACTGAATACTTGCTTTTCTATGTGTGTGAAATTACGGGAACTGAAATTATACAAGAAAAGGACTTATTTTTCCACATGGTTCACAGAGGATGTGTTTTAAATACAGACTTGTCATCTAGCAACTACAACACACCCATAGCTAAGTAGGAATACTTGAAAGCTGGTAGAATTACAGAGATGTTTGCTGAATAGCTGGAGAATCTGTGCATTAGCGTGGTTTGAAAGAAATCTGGGGCAGAAACTTCAAATTTTGGAAGCATTTCTCTTTGTAAGATCTATCTTACATTTTGCTTCCTTGAATTGTATCCATTTCTATTGTTCCATTTAATAACTAGTATTATTTCTCTTCTTAAGACCCAAACTCATTAGTCTGGGTCTTCAGATCATAAGATTTGAAATCTTACATAATATAGAATGGTTACAAAATAAATTAACTGCTGTATGTAATCCTAAGCACACTGAAAAATGTCTACTACAGTATTTGCATATGAGAAAATAGCTTTGGCTTAATTCTAGTTGCATAATTTTATTAAAACAAGGCACAGTTTATTACATTACACTTTACATTACATATTACATTACATTTTATTTTATTACATTAGAGCGCTGCATGTTCATTCCGTTCTATGTTGGTCACGAGATCCTTTGTGTCACTAGTTCCAGGAACTGCATCACTATTAAAATACAAATTGTTCTCAAAGCTGTCATTTGTCGACAAGCGATTCTTTCTTCTTTTGTAGAAGAGATAGCCTGCAAGGCCAGCTCCTACTAGGATGAGGATCACAACAACAACTACAACTCCTGTTTTACCATGGTTCAGACTAGGAGCCTTCTCATCCTTTGTCATTGCTGAAAACAAATACAAAGAAATCAAGACAACGATACATTACTTCTTATCTGATTACTGGAAGCAATTTCTTTAGAAAGCACTATTTTTAAGTAACATGTTCCATTTGCTTCAAATAATGAGTGACAAAGGTATTAACATAAAATTAATTGACTTTAAAAGGTTAACACCACATGTCATGTCACAAAACTTTTTCTAAAACATCTGCATTTGAGCAGTGAATGGAGTGTATTATATCCTGCTAGGAAATAATATGCTTGTAGGAAACAGATGTGGTACTCAGGTATATCTGAAAACTTAAGACACATAATACAGAAGATGATGCATTGTTTTTATGATCGTACATGGAATTATCTTCATCTACTTGAAAGAAAATATTCTTACCTTTTGTAGGCATTTCAGCTGGTGGCATTTCAGCTGCTGGTGGTGTTTCAGCTGCTGGCATTCCAAAAAATTGTAAAGGAATTATGTTATTATTATATTCTTGTTATTTATATATTATAATAATGATTTTTGGGCATAACAAAAATTACATTCAGAAAAATGTACAGTTACACATACCATTAAATACTGAAAACACATTGGTTTATTTCATAGAAAGCTATGTACACCTATCAAATGGCAGAGCACAATGATGCTTACACTAGTAGACATGTACATATGCTAGCATATGCAAAAAAAAAAAAAAAAAAAAAAGAGAGAAAAGAACCATCAATGAGCTCCATGGAGACAAGAGCCTACACCAATGTAAAGCCACAAGAGTGTCTGCAGAGCATCCTGCAGGACAGACATCTTCAAACCTAATTCTGAATATAATTACTAATTCTTGCAGTAGCTGGTATTCTATATAATCACTGCAAGTGTAAATACATTTGGTTTGCTGAGCCTTAATAGCCCTGCCTACACAGACAATTGAATCCAGTCCTGAACATCAAAGTACCTTAGTAGAGATCACATCCAAACTAAAATGTTTGCAGCTCATTTAAGATTTAAGATCTGGACCATGAAATCAGGCTTGCAGGGAAAACTGGGCTATCATTTAAGATGAAAATCCACATTTTGCTGTGTGGACATAAATATGTCGATACTAAATCCTGAATCAAGGAATTATCTTTCCTTTTGATGAAGGTGAGCTCAGAAAATGAAATAATTTTATCAGTTCCCCCAACTTACACTGCCTGACTCCATTAATGATCCAACAATCCTTGCTTCCATCAGTTCTGCTAGTTTTACATTTAGAGACAAATATTATCCTATTTCTAGCTCTTCAAAGTAAAATGAAACATGCTTATTTGGATGCTTCCAAAAGCTTTTATCAAGAAAAGCGTCCACTAATACTGTTGACAATAAAAAGTAGCTTGTTACTTGTTTGCATTACACCAGTACATAAATCCATGGGAAAGAGGGAAACCGGGAGATTTTTGTGTTTACGTACTTCCGAAGTGCCTGCTAGAGGCATTCCATGTTCTCTAATAATGCTACTTTATGTCCAAAAGCACTGTGTAAAAAACAATCTCACAAATGTAACAAGGAATAGAAGGAAATAATTTATATTATGCACATTTTGAAAATAATCTTCTGACTGCATTGCTTAATTTGATAGGAACATTTTTGGAATATGGAGAGTTTTTTCTTGCATCTCGTAGGCAGGGCTTAGTATAAGCACTTATACTTACCTACTTACTTACTTAGCTCTAATCATGCTTATTATGTACTGTTGTTTTTTGCTAAAAGATGAATACATGCTCAGCTCGTCTACATGTTAGTCAAGTACTATATTTACAGATACCATTCCTGAAAAATGAGAGTGAGAAGCCTTGACCATGATCTTCCTAGCCTATCTGTAACACAAACAACAAGCATCTATTGAACTGTTGAACAGTTCTTTTGAGTATCTTTGTTTACGAAAAAGTTAAATTATTTATGGAATAGACCCGTTAACAAAATTTCAGACCATTAAGGTAAAAATCATGTGAACAAGTGGAGCAGAAAGTAAGATCTATTTCACAGGAAGACTTCAGTCCCAGCTTTGAGTTTTGCAGCCTCTTCAGAAAGGAGCAAACTTAACAAGCACAAGCGCAGCTAAACAGGATGGCCATTGATTGCAACACTTTTTAACCTATATCTATGACTATTTCTGATAGAAAACGGAAAATAAATGGCATTTTCATTTGTCAATCACAATGTAAAAGGATAGACAAGTAGACTCTGAATGGATAGTTATATGTAACAGTTCTGCAATACTTCCTGTACCAGATACAGTCATCTTTACAAGCATCTGAGTGAGTCAGGATGATTTTGCATTTGAGAGCAGATTTCTAGAAAGGACAGCAGAATTTCTCCCATTTCCAATCTTCTTGAGGAAGTAGGCATAATTCAGCTATTAAGTGTATTTCACTCTTCTCAGTAAATGTTACTAAAAGATTTTTGATACTGCAATACAAGCTGGAATAAATGCTTAGGATGACTTTTAGAAATATGTATGCGCTGGATGTACATGCTGCCAAATTTGCACATTCAATTATTTCAGCACACTTTCTGTTTAGTACATTCAAACTATTTGCTTTGCCTTTCATTTATTCATCTTCTCAAAACCAGACAACACAGAGACAAAAGGTCCGAAAGGGTTAATTAATTCACAGTCCATAAATATCTAATTCACAGAAGCACCACTGCATACTCAGGAATGCACACAGCTGAGCCTGCCAGAGGGAATTGCACAAAGGGGATTACCTGGATTTAGCAGAGGGTATTCCCCGAGTAACACATTTTCAAAGAGATTAAACTAATTCATGTTTGCAAAACACAGTATTAACAGTGTGATTACTGAACAATTATTGATATGGGAAGGCAAATTTGTCAAGTGCATACACTAGGTACAGTTACAGAAACAGAAACTATCTTTTCCAAACAGTTCTGAGAGACATCCATTTCTTGAGCACAGGTCAGAGCTTGTACTTTCTGAAAGAGTTATTCTCTCTGTTTGTTGGCGTGCAAAAGTGCATCCCTTCCCATTTACTAAACCACAAAATACCCATCTGAAACACTCTGTATATGGCCGCTATCTATTAATACTAAGCATACAGAAAGCACTCTCTCTCCATACATAAAATAAATTCATAAATGTAGCACTTACTTTTTGGTTTTTTACAAACATAGCCTTTATAGGAACTGCAATAAATATTATTCCAGTACCCGGAGTTTGCGTACATTTCAACACAGTGCTCGTTTTGTTGAGGTGAAGGTTCTCCTACATTCCAGTTGACAAAATCCACTGCAGTGTTGTCTAGCCACAACCATTCTCCTAATTGGAAAAATATTTAATATAGTAAAACAAGACTGCGTTCATTTCCCTGTTGACATCTGCTCTGCATTTATTGCCTTCCCAAGGAATTTACTTGTGGACACGTTTGGAGACAGGCCATTAAATTATTTGGACTTTTGGTCTGATACAGAATGGCTGCCTTTAAGTTTTTATGCCAATGATATAATATCAATTTTGAGAAAATGGCCAGCCAGTCTGGCTTGTAAAGTTACTAAGGAGAGAAAGCTTAAAGACATATCTCCCACACAATTTTCTGCATTGGTATGGTGTCAATTATTTAGTCAGTTATAGAAATGATTGATGTCAACATATAAATTATCTTCAACAGAAGGCCATTTATCTCAGTAATTTGTAGGGGGCAGGTTATTACTCTTTTTAAAACCCCCACTTAAGTTTTTCTAATTCCCTTTATTTTTCAGTTTCTGCTCCTTCCCACTGACCTTATAGACTTTGATTTTCAATTCTGAAGATCTGCTTCAAAAATCTTGTGATCACTCTTGTTTAAATATCCTGGGACTTTCTGTCTCCCTTCCTGTTCCTTTTTTCTTCTTTCTTTTAATAGTGTTATTTATTTAGAATAAATGTGCCCTTGTGACTCTTAACTTGTACTCAGACAAGAAAATTCTTAAGACTCAGCATGAAAGTTGTTTTGTTTTCTTACAAGGTACCTTGTATTTTACTTTTTTAGTTTTTTTAATACCTGCCCCAATTTGTGTCAGTGCATAACATTTTGATACCACTTTTCCAAAGATACAAAATTTAGTTATGCTGAAATCATGATAATCATTATCAAACGATACAATGGTATCTACTTGTTGAAGCAGCTTCAGGTTTATGATTACTATAAAAAAATGTATTGTTCTTCACCTGCTCTAGAACTAATTTTAGAAACCATGTTTACGTGTCAATTAACCACATGAGTAAACCTCAGCTTTTCTTGATATGTATTATCTACATAAATCATTAATCTATTCAAGTTCATTTCCCCTCTACTGAAGACCTTCCTTTTTCTTTCTTTCTTTTCCCTGGATTCAAGTAACATAATTGAATATTTGTCTTCTCCTCAACTGGACTTGCCGTTGCAGTAGTTGAGCAGGCAGTGATAGGAAAAACCTTCGAAAACTCCTGAAATTTGACCTAAGTCCCCCGAACTATTCTGCAGCCCTGCCTCTGACACTGTTAAACTGGAGTTTTTACTCTGAGCAGCACAAGCCTGAAGTAGCCGTTAGGTCTATTGTTAAGACCGAAATAACTATTTAACTGAATATTGATTTTATTAATGAATAAGCAATAATCAGCAAAGGAAGATTAAATTAAATAAGCCTATTGTCCGTTCTCTCTTTCCTTCCCTTCCTCACAATGAGGCAGAAAATAGAAAAAGTTATGACGCGTTATTCCAAAGACATGAACTCCAGCTTCAAAATAAATTTGTTCTGAGGGGCAGCTGAAGCTAAAAAACAGGTGATGGATCATTCAGGATGGTGAGTCCAAAGACGAGATGTGATATTAATCACATTATTCTCTACCATAAAAATTAAGAGTATCTCAGTGAAAAGCACATCAATCCGGTGGCCTCTCCAGATCTGAGAGGAACCATTTGACCTTGGTTCTTTTCAACTATCAGCATGATCCAGTCTGTATTCTGCTATCCACACCCTGTGCCTTACTGCATCCTGAATTCCTCTTCTTGCTTTAAGATGAACTTGCTGTGCCTGGTCTTTCTTTTATATACTACCGCTTATTACTTGATTACTACTGAACTACAGCTGCCCTGTTGTAAGACTACATTACCTTTCCTAATTTCACTTTTATGTATTACCAAGTACCATCTCACATTTTCAACACCACTGTCAAACAGCTTGTGAGAATTGTTCACCAAACACAAAGATGTATTACAAAAAGTAAAGAATTTACCATCTACATTTCTGTACATTCCTGTCCAAAAAGTTGATATTTTCCTTTCAAGAGGTTCAATGGTGTATGCCAGAAAGTTGGCTTCAGCTGAGTCTTCAACTGACACCAAAGAGGCCCCTGCAAAACACAAGGAAAAAAAATGTCTTAGAGACACAAGTTTCACAGCAAACATGTAAAACAAAAACTTGGGATAATTTCTTATGAAGTGCTCTTGCAATGTTTTTGATATATTTCTCAGCATTTCCAACACAATGCACCAGCATTTTGTTTCCTCATCCACTAGAAAATAGCAGCACCACTGAACAATGACTCAAAATGCAAAAGGTGAATATGTGACCTGGTATAAACTTCTACTGATGTGTTAATAACAAAAAACTAACAAATAAAAAGAAGCCTACAAGTTTTTATTAAAAAGTGCAACAACTTCTATCTACGCACAATATCACTTCATACATTAATGATTAAAAGTTTTCTGAGCCTTTGTATAACTCGCTTATAGCACAGTCTTTGCTGACTTTTTGAGGTAGAGTTTTAAGTGTAACTCCTTAATTGCGCAGTTTACTTATACACACGTTTTCTTTGTAGTCAGCAGAGAAAGATTTTCCACAGTATGATTCACAGCACCTAAATTAGGTTCTTACTCTGAATCACCTTCTAAAAGAATCTCTTTCTCCCTGGTGATGAAGGAAGTGCAAGGGAATTTAGCTCCACGCAGAAGAAATTGGAAAAAGATTTTCATGAAGCCTGAGCTTTTACTCTGAGGTGACAATATCTGCATTGTTCCTCCCTGCCTTCTGTATCTTTCACCTTGGTCATCTGTTGCCCAGTTAGTACCTGGTTAGCCATCCACCTGCAACACTAGGCATTCTGCCATAATGATTCATTCTAGCAAGGTCAAGAAGTTGTGGCATGGGGCCTGTACTGTGCCAGCAGAGCAAATCAGATTTTTCATGGAGTGTTATTAAACATTTTATAAAGTGCATCTTCTCTTCTCTTTCAGTGTGGGGTTGGAATGCAGTCAACAGATAAGTAGCAACAGCTGTGCTCAGCATTTCACTGTTTTGATTAGGATGCTGAATTTTTCAAGGTGTTCCTCCTCAGGTGAGGAAGACACAGTTAAAGAGAATGAAAAAATAGAAGTCATTTGAAATACTACTGAGCTAGTGCTAAATTCTACCATGGTTCAGAATTTCACTATGGTCACTTCACTATAATTAGAAAATGCCCAACTACAAACAGAAAATCCAGAGTGCAAGTAGGGACAGCAGAATGTAACAGAGCATGGAATGTTCCTCTTTTTGCAGTAGTCTTTACGTTCTTCTAATTGTTCCTCTTTTTCTGAATGTTGTCAGATGTTTGGTTTGCATCAAAGATTAAGGGCAATACTGAAGGGGAAGTCAGTGATGTGAAGTCTGCCTATAATCCCTTGCAACTTTTAAATTGCACATAATGCCAGACTCTCACCACGCAGGCTGAAACAAATGGTCAGTCCCTTTTTTCAGGGATCTCACTCTAACACAAAAAAGCAATTCTGATGTAACTGCAGGTTCCAACAACAAAGATGGAGGGCAGCTGCGGAAATAAGCTGAGCCACGTGCTATCACAGGCAATGTCAAATTTCTCTCAAACTTCACCTTAAGACTCTTCCATTTATTTGCCCCGCTCTTCTTACTCAAAGACTGTTCCAGAAACTTAGCCCTCTGAAGACAAGAAAGTGCTAATTTCTAGCATATGCTTGTTCAAAATTATAATTGTACCACCTAAGGCAGAGAACAAATTTTCCTGCTATTTGCACAGCTGCCAAGATCTTTTTGAGTATGCAGAAGTAAGAACACACACTGCAGTTTCCAAAGACTAAGCATCTGTCATGCCAACAAAAGAACTCAGAATCTGACTGCATGGAAATGGGTCACACTGTGACAACTCTCACAGTCTTAAAGACTGAGCTATATAGCAAGAGAGTTGTACTTCTGAGACATTTCTGTATTTAAAAGTAAACAATCGAGAATCTCTATTCAAACGTTATGCAAATGTTAACATGGAGAATATAGTTAAGATTTACAGAACATACAGCAAAACTTGAGCATTCCCTTGGAAATACTAAAAGCTCTTCTCCAAGCTGGCAATGAGAAGCCAAGAACGAATCTGACCGCTGACAGAAAGGGTGAGATTCATCTCACCTAGCTCTAGGTGTCTGTATGCGAGCTCTAGGTGTCTGTATGTAACATAGGTTTCAGTGGTAGGTTTTCACAGAATCACAGAATCGTTTAGGTTGGAAGGGACCTCTGGAGATCATCTAGTCCAACCTCCCTGCTCAAGCAGGGTCCTCTAGAGCAGATTGCCCAGGATCACATCCAGACGGGTTTTGAATATCTCCAGCGAAGGAGACTCCACCACCCCTCTGGGCAACCTGTTCCAATGCTCTGTCACCCTCACAGTCAAGAAGTTTTTTCTCAGGTTCAGATGGAACTTCCTGTGGTTCAGTTTCTGCCCATTGCCTCTTGTCCTGTTGCTGGGCACCACCAGTTTTAGTCAGTGGAGAGAAAATCAACACAGTCAGCAGAGTTTAGGGTGCAATTCATCTGACCAAACATCAGTGTATATTTCTAGTGAAGATGAATCAGCCAGCTCCACTGACCACAAGAACGAGGTCTCTGGGCACTCTAATGGGAACTTAGATACCTGGGTTGCATACAGCTGTCAACACTGTAGATATGAAGTTTGGCAAGATGAATCTTTACTTGCCCAGAGAAGTAAGTTACAAGAATGAAACAACAGTCCTAGTTTACTAATATATTATCCATCCTAGACAGCTGTAACTTCTTCATTTCAGTGGCATAAAACTGGAATAACCAAGAAGCAAATCAGATTAGGAATGCAAATCACAGGGAATGCTTAAAGCAAGATTTAGTGACTGCTGTGCATGAGGTTGACTACCTCATCGACTACCTGTCCTGTCAAAGGACAAAGGTTCCACTTCTGTCATCTCCACTCCAGGCCACACCCATCTTCCAATGCCTCACCCCACACCCATCAAAGAGTTAGTGTGTGCCACTGGTAGACAGCTATTCTCCATCTCCTCCAGAATTAAAGCAGCATTTGGATATAACTGACTACCCTTGAAATCACAAAAATACATAGCACATGTTCAGTTTTTCATAGATCAAAAAAAACAAGTCAAGAAAGTGTGATCTTTGATTAAGGAGGATACTCACCTAGTCGGAGACATTCTAAAGAAGCCTGGGCCCAGTTTCTTGTAGATGAAGATTCAATGTAGTAGCAATGACCTCGGAAAGGGATCCAAGACTTGTGACCTTCTGATTCAGGACACTTTCCTGGAAGCTGAGGGGGCTCAGTAGGAGCTTGAACTGTTTTTAAAAAATAGAAAGGGCACAATCTAAAGACACCGCTCCTTAAACATTCTTTTATCGTGAGTAGGTTATTCTAACTGAACATTGGAAAACTCACTTGAAACAAATCTTAAACAAAATGTAATCTTGGTAATCTGCACTGCTTAGTATAACACAATAATGGGAAAAAGTCTGAAACTGGAGAACAACAAATACTGCAGCTGTGCTTCACACTCAAGAAAATTAATTCAGCAAAGAATGTAAGCATTTTTTTCTTCAAATACATCTTAAGGTCAGATCAACTCTCTGCTCACAACTGTATAGTCACAACTGAGCGTCACGCTGAATAAGTGCTTTGCTGAATTAGAGCCTAAACTTGGTCACGTGGGTTGTAACCTAATATCATCGAACACAGAAAGGGTTATCAGGCAGAAAGGGTTATCAGACAATAACAACAGAAGTTTCAGATCAGAACAGTAGCATATGTGGCCTGAAGGAGCATCTTTAAACATTTATATACTACCTGTAATTTGCTATGCAGTTATAATAGGAAAACCTGGAAAGCCATTACAAGTGAACACTCATTTTGATTTCTTATGGCTTGGTCACTCAGCTCTTCCCCTTTCAACACCATACCCAATGTGACCATTACCTGACCATTCATTACCTTTTGATTCTTCCAGGGTTTGCTTAATCAATATCAGAATAAAATAACATTTACTTAGTAGCACAGTAAATATCAGACTAATGCAAGTCTGAGCTTGACAAAACGTATCTAACATTATTAACGTGAAGTGATGGGTATTCATTGTCACAATAGCTTTGTTAGTATGTGTTGGCCCTCATTTTAAAGTCGCCTATTCAATCCAATTAAATTTTAATTATTTCATCTATTTGGTTCTTGATATAAGAGGAAGCATTTAAGTATATATCAGCAGACCACTCAGCACAAAGAACTATAAAAGGAAAATCATCATAAATGCAAAAATTCAAGTTCTTACCATCAGGTTTTTTGCAAACAGAGAAGTAACTTTCATTACAGGATCCTGTCTTCCAGGCTCCAGCAATGTCTAGATAGACACAACCTATCTTCTGCTTTGGTTCCCCTTCAGCCCACTTAGTATACTTCATTCTCCAGTTATCAATCCACTCATAACGCCCATTGGTCTAAGCACAGAACAAACAGGAATGATTAAACCCTGAGCACTAACCGTTGCTTTGTGAGTCAAATGTCTGTTTGTCTGTCTGTCTGTCTGTCTAGCACCTTCTGCCAGAAGTTTCCTTTAGAAATCAATAACAAATGCAAATGGACCAAATCTCTACGTTTATGTTGTGACCAGCAGCTGTTCATGGAGAAATACAGCAGGGCAACAAATACTTTTTAGCAATGCAAAGTAAGTGACACTGAATACATTTTGGACTTGACAAAACTGTTAAATAAAACCTGGACATAAAAAAAATTCATTAAACATAGTTTGTAGGAGTGAACCTCTGATGCTTAGTTTTTGTACTATCTAATTTTCTTCAAGTTTCAAGAAGTGCAGATTATTTTAGCTTAAACTGCCTTTAAAAATTAACATTCTCCCACCACAGTTTATGAACTCAAAGGATCATCCTGTTGGTTAGCTTTGTGGAATTTTTTTTTTTGGAAGACGTGTTTTACATTCACTCATTTGCATTTCTTTCTTATGCTTAGTCAATGCCGGGCAAGTGCCTATGCCAAGAAGAAAGAGTGGTATATTTTAATATCTGGAAGGTACCAAAATATCAAGAGAGCAGGGAGAGGGGAAACAAATAAGACAAAAAATTAAATGAGGTAAACAAACTAATTATTTGGCTAACTATCCTCAGAATGTTCCAAGAGTCATTTCAATACCACTTTATTCTATTTGTGAAAATCAGGTATTGTTACGCCCTTTGTTTAGAATAAATGATTTCCACAGTAATCTTAAGACATAAGAATTTTATCCCAAAACAAACATTGCACTGTCTACATGAAGAGATATTTCAGAATGCTAGCCTAAAACGTCTTGTTTGGAAGGGCACAGAGTAAAATACCACAGAGAATGAGTATAAAAAATATACAATTTAATCAGAGTAATGGAAGAGTATATATACCCTTACCTGTAAAAACATGCTATATACAAGCACTTAGAATCAAGATGTAAACTAGTAAGCTAACAATAAAGAGATTTTCCAGTCCCTATTTTGTACATAAGGGAAGCAGCATCATTTTTAATTGGTTCAATGTTCTTACCACGTTACTGTTAAGACCAATCCATATTGGCACCCCATACTTCAATATCTTTAGCCACAGGAACGAATGACTGTAGGGGTCTAAGACGCTGGAAAGGTCAAATTGATCACGTCTGCAGTTTTTTCGTGCATCCTCCCATTTCATTTTGGTATGGATGAACAAATAACTACTGTTACCATAACGGATAATGCTGGATGGAACTGTACTTGTAGAAGGGAGAAACTCAGAGTCTATAAAATAAAGGAGGAAGAAAGGCTTATGTCAGATGTTTATTCAAAAGGGTTTATGATTTGACTTTAGTAGCAAATATGATAAAACAACTACCTCTTTTCCTCATCTCCTCTTCCATGACTTTTGACCAGTATAGGTTAGATATGTTATTCTTTAAGATAGCATCAGTAGCAGAAATCAATTAAA